AGGCCATGGAGAATTAAGGGTTTTGACATGTGAATGACAAATTCAGAGGTATAGTTAGGGAGATTGAGAGAGCAACTGCACAAGTCGGAAAGACAAAAACAAAAAGGAGACTGGAAAATTGTCACAGTATTTCTTCCCTAGCACCTTATTAAGACCCTCCTTCTTGGACCATTGAGAAGTAGAAAGTAGAAAGTATAATGAGTTGAAAAACCAGATCTAGGTCACAGTGGTCAAGTCTGCCATTGTCTGCATGACCTTGGAAAGTCACTTACCCTCACTGAATCTCAATTTCCTTATGTGTGAATCTATTATTTATTCTTTTTGGAGTCAGAAGCCATGAATTTCAGCAAATTATTAGATCTGGGAGTAGAGCAAAAACAGCAATAAAACTGTTTCAAGTGATTAAAATAATAGGCAGCTACCATTTATTAAACACGTCCTATGCATTTGTCACTGTGCTTGCTTCATTTATTCCTTAGAAGAATCCCATGAAGTATGTATTCTTATTTTACAGATGAGAGAATTGAGAACTTTAAGACTTAAGTAACTTAGCCAGGGCCAACCAACTGACATAGTGACAAAGCCAATATAGGTGCCTAGGTCTCTCTGAGGGTAAGGCCCTTTCTCATTCCAACATGCTTTTTCTTATATAGTAGCTAAACAGTGCTAACACTTGTTCTTGTGTTCCAAACGAATCACTGTCTCTTTTACCACCCTTTTGATGTACTAAAAGGTCTCGATGAGGATAAGAAACAAAGTGTGGACATAAATATAATCTACTTATTTGCTGAACATTCGTTCATTCACTCATTCAATTTACATTTATTGAGCATCTTTCATACTTTGTGCCTAGTACTGTACTTGGCATGGAGGATGCAAAGATAAATAACAACCATCTTTGCCCTCAAAATGCTCATGACTAGTAAAAGACAACCACACATAAACAAAGAACTGGTATACAATGACAGAAGAGAGTTTTGCACGAGAAATGGAAGCACAAATGTACATGAAGCAAAATATTGTAATTTTGTATCTCAGCTATTAAATCTTGACCTAGATCATTTAAAACTATATTTATGTGGTTTGTAGAAATATTCATGTATTTACACACATATCCTTCAAAAAGTAAAGGCTTATGTTCATGACAGAAGGAAAATTAGCCATGAACTATGATTTTGTTTAGCGTGTCTACTGCCAAGACTAATTAGGTGATTAGTTTATTTAAGAAAGCTTTCTGCCTTGATGAGTGCCATCTTATTGTAATGGGTAAATAAAATGCATTTGAACTGTCATGAGCCTTGATTGCTATGGACATAAGCCAGTGTCATTAGACAGAAAGTGAAACATATAAAACTAAATACATACCACATGAATTCTGGTTTGATCTGGAAGTAAAAAGTTATCCCATTATCCATCAAAAATAGTGGAAGAAAGTAAAATTGAACTCTTTCAATGAGTACTGTGGTAATTGGCTAATTAAATATTAAGCATAACAAAATGTACAATGTGGGGTTTTTGTCAGCGGTCATTTACTGAGGCCAGAGATGAAGTGAAAAGGCCCCCCAAAATAAACTCCAGCATGTCAATTGTGTTTGGAGCTAAAGCCACATGGGCCATATCTCTTTGTTTAATGGGAGTAGGTTTTGTTAGGTAGAAAACATTTGTTCCAAGGCATCTTCATTTTCTCACTCATTCTGGGGATGAAAGACATGTATTTGTTAGACAGCTGACAATGGTTAGGAGGCTGCTCTGTATTGACAAATCAAGAAACTGACCCTTAAGTCATTCTGTTGTAATACAGAAATAATTTAGAAAGACTTTAAATATACTTTAATGTTTTTAACAAATCTCAAATCAGAAAAAATACATTAGGTTGATTTATAAAGTATTTAGGTAAGTGTAACAACAAATAGCTAGAATGATAAAATGTATCAATTTAAATCCTACTCATTATCATAAAAATTCTAAATAGTTGTTGTGTTTAATTTGTTGCCCATAATGTAGAAATAAGTTAGATCACATTTTGGCCCATAAACATATCTAATTTATCTTAGATAAATATCATTTATTATTTTTTTTACTAAACTGAGTCTAAGAAACAGTAACAAAATTTTAATATATCCTCGCAAATTAAGCACCCAATTAAATGCATAAGGCTAAATAATTACAAACTGAACTCCCTATGGTGAAATGCAATTAATTATACAATATCACACAACTCAAAAATACTAATTCAAAACTATTCTCTCTGATTGACAGGAATTTCTCATTGAAGAATGAAAAGAAGTCTGAAAATGTCTTCTCAGAAGAGTGCCACAAACACTTTTCGATGGAAACTTTCTGTTTTCTTTTGGCAGGAGTAGGGAAGAAGCAAAGGATGGAGGAATAAATTATAAAGAGATTTTTAGCAGAGACTTTAAAATAAAAGTACTAGTAGTTTTCATTCATCTTCCTATACTACTGAAACCAACAAATCTGAACACTGGCAAGCAATGAGAACTTTTATTCAAGTTGGCTTAAACATTAAACCGAATTAGATATCAAGGTAGACTCTGAGATTACAATGGTTTGACTGTACAGGCCTCAAGTGGTAAAGAAAGTGTAAAATGGGTTATTGTATTTACTGGGCATCCTGCTAAACCAAGACTAAGAAAAGTCTAAGAACTACAAACCAAAAAGAACTTTCATTCTGTTGTTACTATATTCAGATGACGTATAAGGCTCCTTAATCTTGACTTTTGATTATATTTTTTAATTGAGAAGAAAGTTTAAATGAGCATAGGTGTAATAACTTTACATATTTACAGTTCTAGTGTTTTATTTTGTGAAACAAATGAAACTAAATTCCCACAGAATTCTTACTCCCCCCAGAACAAATCTCCCCAGAATAAAGTTATTGTAGATAGACCCTGTCACTAAAAATTCTATTACAATGAATCTCTTCATCATCTCCGGATCAATATCATAACGTAATGTGGTTTAAATGACTGCTTTAGTAATCAGTCAGGGAGTATCAGAACATTTTCTTTTTTTAAAAGGAAATAAGTTTAATGTTTTATCTTAAAAAACTGCTATTTGTACCAATCAGAAATGAGCTAGCAAGTATGATGAAAGAGCTTATCTGCTCAGTTTTATTACTTTGTAGAATTATTGGTACTGTGATTCCCAATTCTTCCACAGACTAGTTCATGTTTCATGCACTACACAGTGAACATATGCCCCTTGAAATAAACTCTTGAATTAACTGACCTTGTTTGCTTCTTGAATTCTACCTAGAGCTCCGGAAAAATAAATGTAATGGAAAAAATTACATTTAATATATCTTAAATATAGTGTCTCATAATTAAAATCTGTATTTCCTATTGCAGTTCCTCTTATCTTTGTAACTTTTTTCCTAGGAAAGGAGTTCTAATTAGTAGACTTTTCATAACTAAGTTCCACACTCTGAAGCCAGTTAAGAAATGTTCTGTATCAGGTAATATCAAATAAAATCCCCAAATGGCACATATCCTCTACTTATTATCACCTTGATGAAGATGACTTTAGTAATTTTTGTCTTGGATTGAAATAAGCAGTTCTAGGTAAGCCTTCTACGTTATGTCTCTGGGAAATAATGCAGTATTTCTGTCATCCTCTTAGCTGAAGCTGCCCATTACTAAACGTGGGCAATGGCTTCTAATAACATGTTTTAAACTCGAACCAAAGAAGATATTTAAATAACTGTGAAATGATACAGTTGTGACATTCACCATTATTTCCCAAATACCATCATTTCCTAACTCTTCATCTATAAAAAAGAAAAGAGGTAAGGAGAAGCAACACAGAGAAAAAGAGGTGAAAAAAATTCACATGCAAAACTATAACCATAACAAAGCACGTGCATTCAAGAGAACATGAGAAAGGTAGTCAGGGCAGTGTTAACTAACAAATGCTAAATACTTAGCCTGGTCATTAGCTTAATTTTCATATCCCTCAAAGTAGGAGGCTGCTCCCCAATTCCCACCCCCTATTGCTTTCCTCTATTTACTTCAGCATTTTAATAGACACACACTTGCCTCCCACCAGGGCATACAAGTCTGGTTTAAATAGGCTTATCTTTCTCCTTTGCTTGTCCTAGAATTATGCCTAAAGCTCAGTCCTGGTAGCTTTCAGGATGAGAAATCTAATTGGACAGTGCTGTTAGTTTAGTGACTCCAATACCTCTTTTCAAAATTTAGTTTGACCCTCCAACTATCTCCAACACACCAAAATTAAACAAATTTAGTATATATTCCTTTTAATCTGATTTGTAAACATTGATACTGATGTGCTGCCAAATCTGAGAAAGTTTCTTAGCTCCTCGCTGACCTAAAATGAAAAATATAGGGTCTATCAAAATAAACATCCTCATTGATCCAAAACGTGGGTCTCCAAAAGGATCCCTTTTCCTTTCAACTTGTTTGTGATGGGTTGAAAAAGCCCTCTCCAACTTTTCACGTTCTGATTAAGCTATTAAAGCCAGGTAGCCCCTCACTTTCAAGGCATCCACGCCAAACTCTTAAGAAACGAATGGGAAGCCGTGGGGCCAGTGAGGGAGTACCGCTATGTATCGCTCTTGATCTTTTAAGATCTCTATATGTCTGCCAGACCCCTCCAGCCCGTGCGTTCTACTTAAGAGATGTTTCATTACATAATCCCTGTTCCAGAGTCAGTCACGGGGGCTCAGGCTGTCCCACGCCTCACACGCTACCCTTAGGAAGCTCGGCTGACTGCAGACTCTGACTGAAGATGACTTCGAGCAGCACCGTGCCCTCTTCTCTGCTCTGCCGGCTGTCCCAACTCGCCCGGTGCAGCGACCCCGACCCAGGCTCCCTCACTTCTCGAGCCACGCAGGGCCAGGGCACGCTCAGAAGCCCCTTTCGCTGCGCCCCCGGCCCAGAGCCACTGGCCCGGCCCCTGTCGAGGACCTCCCCGCCAAGATCGGCTGTCCCGGCCCCGCTCAAGGCCCCCTTCCCTTTCAGACCCGCTGTCCCGACCCCATCACACCTGTCCCAGCTCCTCTAGGGGACTCCCACCCTCAGACCTGCTTTCCCGGCTCCTCTCGGGGACGCCCCTCAAACTCGCCCCTGTCAGGCACTCCCCCGCCCCGATCTGCCATCCCGGCTGCTCTCGGAGTCCCCTCTCTTCAGACCCGCCGTCCCGACCCGTTTCGGGAACTCCCCTCAGACCCACTGTCCCGCTCCCTGTCGGGGTCCCCTATCTTCAGACCCCCTGTCCCGGCCCCTCGCGGGGTCTCCCCCTTAGACTCTCTTGTCCCCTCCTTCTCTCGAGGTCCCTCACCCGAACCTCTGCCCCAGCCCCTCTCGGGGTCTCCTCTCCACAGTCCCGACCGTCCAACCCGCTCCCGGAACTCTCCTCACTCCGCTTCTCCCCGACCTCATTCTGTCCAAGATCCCCTCGCCCTGGCGCACGCTGTCACCGCCCCGCGCCCCGGTGCTCTCACCTCAGACCTGCTGTCACCACCCGGGCCCGGCGTCGCCGCTGCCGCTTCCTCTCTCACACTTGTTCCCGAGTCGCTCTTCTGCAGCTCGTCCCCTGGCGGAGCCCTTGGTCCGGTCGCTGAGTGCCCGGTCCGGCCGCGCGGAGCCTCCGCCCGCGGTCTCCGCGTCGCGTCCCACTCTCTCACGCAGGACCCCGCCGCCACCGCCGCCGCCGGGCGCCACACGGACACTCCCGCGGCCGCCGCTGCTGCTGTCCGAGGTGCGGCTCCTGCCAGGGGTGGCCAATCGCACCCGACTGCGCCGAGCGCGC